CGATGCTATCCCACTGTGTTACTACCGTCAAGTAAGCCGCTTCCACGGCGCTACGTTTACTCTCCTTGCATATCGATATGCATCGCTTCGAAGACCTTATCAACATCGTGGCATCAAGTCAACTCCCGGCTAATCTCGATCTGTGAATTTTCTTGGTTGATTGAGGTAATCCTGTGATTCCAAAATGCAGTTCCGGATGCGCAAAAATATCGAGAACGGGCTTTCAAAGATTGACCTTTGAAATTGCACATGTCTACAGAGTCCGTTGAGGCTGGAGATGCAGAGCCTGTTGGGCCCTATGGTCATTGTTGCGATATGCGCGTTCTAGCATGCTTTCTGATTTTTCGTTGCAAGTTTTGAGTCTTGGTAATCCGGCTTCATCGCTCCAGTAGCTTGACTAGGGACCTGCTATTGCAACCCCTCGTGTCAATGATTACAGCGAAACTTTTACGTAGATCGAGCTAGCTAGCAGCGGAACTTGTGTCCTTTAATTAAACATCGTCTAGTATACAGAAAAGTCCCAAGTTCCACCACCCACGCAATCAGACTGCACCTTGAAGCGAAAATTGTCGATTTTTTGCGCATTAGTCATAGCGAATAAATCCCAGAACCACTTTCTGAGAGGCGTCAGTTGCGGATAAAATTTTGCCGCTCTACGGAACCGTGCAAATGCCAGATTCATCAGGCATAATTGGGACTTGAATGTCTATTTCAATTAAGTGTCACCTAATCAGGCACATTATTGAATACGGTTATTTTAATCAAGTGTCCCCTAATTAAGAACATTATTAACGATGTATCTAGATAGTTTAGTGATTTTGTTAGCGATATGCAATACATAATTTGTGACTCAAAAATTGTTATTATCATGGAATGGCCCTTAAAGGCACCGTCTACTCTAAGTTGAGGGAGCTGAGCTTTTGGCAGCATATAACAGTAGGGCCTCCTATCAAGCCAATGCCCAAGTTGCTGCGCAAAATGCCGCTTCGGAAGCAAGAAAGTCGCTTCGGAATGGCGAAGATGCTCGAGGACCCCCATCCATGCCCGCCCCTCCCCATCCATGCCCGCCCATTTGTGCGCGCTCATCCAATCACCGTTCTGGAAAGCCGGCCTGTGGGCTCCGCGGAATGGGAATTTTCGGGATTTTCGAAGATTTTCGACTTCATATTTGGAATCAGGGACATGAGAAGGCCCTGAAACGACAAAAACCTTGAAGTCGAGAATCTGGGTGGACGGTGCCTTTAATGCACTTAATTTGCTTAAAAATGGAAAGCAAAGAGAGGACCGACGGAGATATACTGCCTTCATGGTGGAAAGCATTATCAGGACTTGAGTTGGGTGTCAAATAAAAGCAGATTAGTTGGTCTCGTCAATAATAATAAGCATGAGATTGAATGAAAAGATTTGCATTGCACGCATGAACCCATGTACATTTAACAATAAAGATCAAGAACTGACCCATCCTGCCACATGCATTTTTGATATTTTTAACATACCTAGTGCCTTACCTAGTGCGAACTCTGACCGAAGCCCTCTCCGCCTTTGACCTAAGGATCCATTTGATAAACACATGTACGAAGCATGAATCCGAGGCGCTCTTCATCCAATGGTCTACTCAACAAACTAACTTGCAGAACCAGAAAGCAAATAAGAAATGATAATGCACTTGACAAAATTACCGCTAACTTTCAAATTATATTTACAGAGAGCAACGCAAGTCAGATTATAATGCTATTTTGGCGCATAGACAGGTACATATTGTTTTGTCGTAAACTGATACGAAATGGAGATCCTTATGCATCTCACAGTACTATGTACTAATTTCTCACCCGGGAAGGAAACATTAACAAAAGCATTATATAATGCTACTTATATATTTACAATTTTTTAAGAATCCTTTTCTATCATCCTTTGTAATCCGTGAACAACAGCGCAATGTCATTTGGTCTGCCTTTAGACTTTGCAAGAACTAAAACCCTGATAAAACTGTAATGCCCTTCGAAGTCGCTTCTCTTTATGACTTTAATAGACTAAAGCTAATACGGACCATCGGCCAACTAGCTTTTTTCGTCCGCGACAAGTGAAAAAAAACAAATGTTCGACAGTCGCCATATTGGCGAAGAAGCTCATAGTGCCTTTTTAGTTCACAGAAATTTCTATGCAGCGAAGACTATGTATTTGAACTCTCGTCAGCTTTGATATGATCTTTGAAAGGCTACTTTATCCTGCGACCAAAAATGGTTTGCCTATCCTTACGTGGATTGCTTTAACATAGGTAGAAGGAAAAATCTAGTTCTGAAAACAAAAGCTACATGCTCGGATAGGGGAGAACTCGCTGATTGCAAATATCATGATCGAAATTTGAAAGAAAATTACATCGGTCTTTTTTGACGCTACATGGTGCTCATTCGCTGTCTATATCTGTCAATAATGTAAAAAAGTATTAAGACAAAGGAAGCTGTTGAGTTTGCGTCTCCACAATTTCTGAGATTCTAGTTTGCTGACGTATGTTTGCATCAATCTGCGTGCAACTAAGCCGTTTAATATTCTGAAGGGGCCAGATCTCCACTTGTCTTCAACTGCTGTCACTCTCATTCGGTCAGTGATTCAAACCCTAACCACTTTTGCCAGGATCTCGCCCGAATACACAGACCATGTACAAGTTGCTTCTTTCCCGAAATCAATTTTGCAGATTGAAACGATGCCTGACTTGCTGGGCCTTGCTATGATACAAAATGTTCGTAACGCCATCCTGTGACTACCTCTGCACCCTTAATCTGTACACAATCTTGTCCTGTTAATTGTCGTAATGTCAATGAGGCTGATCCGATTAAGGGGATTCACTTATTCTAAGCTGCTGCATAAGTTCTGTCCGATTTTTTTTCATGTGTTCGAGCAGACGTCCTAGGAGATTTTCACTTGTAATGCGATAATATTTGTACCATTAGAAAGTGCTTTTCCTGCTCTTCCTAACGCATGTCATTTTTGAATGAAATCTCCGTTCTGACGAGACTGCAGGCCTATGCCCCACATGGCCGAGACATGTTTCGAGCTAAGAAGATGTTCTTGCGAGAAAATCGCCACAATATGCTTCCCAAGTCAAATCCATGTACCGTCCACTGAATAAGAGTGAAAGAGTCCAGTAGTATATGCACGAACTCGCTTTCATGTAAAAAACGTCTCTCTGGCAAAATTTGTCGTTGAAGAATAATTGTGCAAAAGTTCTACAAGCAATAACTTTCCGTGAGCGAGGGCGATTGATGAATTTAATGTTGGAGGTGCTGAAGTAAAGCAAGAGCTAGCAGAGCCCAGCCACCAGTTACTTTTCACCCCTCGCACCAAATGTAAAATTTTCATAGTTCGGAAGTTGGCATACATAGATGTACTAAAACGAGGTTGAAAAACGGCTTCGTCTTTATTCTGTTAAAAAAATCTCGCGGCACCGAAGATCCGACGGGCACTTTTAGGCTATAGAGTAACCTTCGAAATTTTTCTGATTACCCATTGCTACTTGATGTGCCTATCAGTTATCATAAGGAAGCATTGCCATGACATAAAAGACACTTTTTAAAAAAACCGTAAGGAAGCGTTGCCATGCCATAAAAGACAGTTATTAAAAAAAGCTGTACTCTAGGTTCTTTTTTTAACGGGGTTTATCGCCAGGTTTAGTATTTTTCTGACAGCTAAAACTGGTCAACACAAAGAAGCTACGATCTCGGAAAAAAGTTGATCTCGAAAAAAAGTTACGATATTTTGAATGCGAAAATTCAAATCATACAGATCTCATGCAGCAGGCTGATATACCCTTTTAGGGTATGTTTGTCCCAATCCCTTAGCGAAAAATGTTCGCTCAGCATTAAAAGCATTAAATCCTTTGCTGCAATGAAATCGGCCACTAGCAAAGACATTACAATTTGTAAGGGTCTATAAACTGCTACCTTCAGTCTCTGCGTGTAGCAGTGGCGTTTCGATGAGAAAGAAGGATTTTTTTTCTAATGAGAGAAAGTGGCTTCAGCCACCTTCCCAAAACAAGGTTTTGGGATGCTTTGCGACAATTTCGTGGTCCTATGTCCACTTTGATTCTCAAAAGGATGGTATGGCTGTTGCCGCTCCCCAAAAATTTTTCACAGATATAAACTTCTGAAGAAACTTTTGCAATTTTCTAATAATGACTGTTCTTGGGGGCAAGGGGCGGGGATGGGGAGGTGGGTATTTGCCTCCCAATCCGTCACTAGCGCAAATTCCCGTGAAAGGAAAACTTATGGTAAGCGATTTCTTCTACATAACTTAAGTTCGCCTTAACTCCTACAAAGCTCAAACTTTGAGCGAGCTGCATCGCTAACTACAAGAAATTTATCATTCAGAAACAGCGCTGATGTTGAACCATTCCGAGACTGTGGGCGAGTTCAGATAATTGGCCTTCATAATCCTACCTATTTATGTGGCTGCTCATCTCGAGATAAATAGGCATGAAACTCCGAATCTTACCACATTCAGAAGAAGACACTTACATGACGCAAATGCATTCTCGCAGAGCATCCACTACAAATCTGAAGGAACTAAATGGCAGGTATAGCTTTAGAATTTGCATTTGATATCACAAAAAAGCACTATCGAGTCGCAATAATTCTTGCTGATTAGATGAGCATCAAAAAAGCACCTCCTTCGATGCCTTTGTTGGCAAGCATCAACAAAAAGAACACTTGAATTTTCCTTTGCGGTGTTGGATATGGAGAATTTGTGCCGCCTTCAGTTCATTAATGCTTTCACAATTAATAGTATGTGAGCGAGGCCATGCCGAATTATTGATTCCGAATATATTGGCTCATAAAATGCGCTGCTTTTCTTATCAACTCTAGCGTCAATCCCTGAACAGCTAATTTACTGCATCAATCGCATTCATTTATCTGCCTCTATAACACATGACATTTGAACTGTATCAACTACGTAAACGGCGCTAATTCGCTTTAACTGCCTTCATTTACGCTGCACTTATTGTTATGACGCGTAGACCGTACCGAGCGGAAAATTCGCGAGACTGGAACCGATTCTTACCACTACTCAGTCCGCCTCCGCCTTCTGATCCCACACAGGTGAGCCCAAATATTTTCTCCATCTCCGTACTTTATGCGAAAATCTTGATGCCTGTATGCTTCAACACCAACAAAGGGGCCGCTTTCCCTTGCTTTGTCCTAAACATGTTAACTCCCTATGCTTTTCTTTTAGAGGGAACATATACACTGACGGACAACTATCGTCGATTCGATGACCGCACAGACTGCTCAAACGCTGCGGACCACGCGCGGCGCGGCGCGGCCGGCTGAAACGCTGCGAGAGCACGACTTGTACAATAGCAATTTGTACTGAGGCAAGCGTTTTACCTCGCGGCGGCGCGCGTGGCCGCAAAGGAGTAAATTTAAACTCTAAATCTCCTAACGTAAAGATTCTGCATTTCAGACCTTTACATTGGGTCGTTCCGAATGTTCTTCCTGTTTTTCGGCATATCGTAAAACAAAAGATAAAGGCGGGGAATAAGTTCAGATTTTCCTCGATTCATATTCTCTTCCTCTTTTCAACAGTCATGTTTCCATCGCATTTGTTTTCGCAGTCACCAAAATAATCGCTAAATTTCGAACCCAAGGTTTTTGCCACAGCCAAGTTTGGCAGTTCTTCAAAAGCTCTCAACTCGTGGAAAAATGTTACAACAAATAAATAATGCAAACAAAGTACAAAATGACAGTTTTTTGAACATTTCCAATTAGCTTTCCAATATTTTGAGATGATTTCCCCAAAGTTCTTCACTTTTGCGAAGTCTTGTGAAACACGATAACAGCAATCACGGGAATTTTTCGGAATTTAAGTATCTCAAAACCCAATTACCATCTACCACTAAGTTTACAGAGCAAATGAGACTTCGCTTCGAGACATCGCATTTTGGAATTCCAGGTGCAGCCACAGGTGCATCAATTCACAGCTAGGATGATCGTCCCCGAAACTTCTATAGATCAGCGAGAACAACGTCTATCAAAAAGAGGAGAAAAAACTGCATCGGCCAATACCCGAGTGGCTCCTTGGGTGGGGTGATTGAGGTGCTCTGTTTGGTTGTGTTGCACTTTGTTTGCTCTAACCAGATTACGAAAACTCTTCCGGAAGTTCAAAAAGAAGATTCGGAAGGTTGCCAAACTTGGGCATGGTAAAAACCATAGATTTAAATTTTTGCAGTTATCATGATAATCACAAAAAATAGCCTCAAACATTATTATTGGAAAGAGGAAGTGAAACTGCATCGAACTGTTGTTGAAATGCTTCATCACCTCCACCTCAAGTAATTTATAATCTTTCGAAAAAACGGAAAAACTTTCGCAACAATCTAAAATATAGAAAAACCATTCTCTGGACAGAAACTACCATTAGAATCATTCTCGAAAGGCAAATGCGTAACAAAATACAGGGTGCATACAACTTGGCACTAGAAAGAATACTGAATTTTGAATTGAAACGTTCGGGACGGAGAAGAGTAAATAAACATTAGTCTCGGCTTTTTGCGCATGTATTAGTTGAGACAAGAGTTCATAGTATGGGCGGTCGAGTAGAGCTCGCATGAAAGTGACGCATCAAGAAGTTTTAATTTGAGGGACGTAATTATGTTTGGGATTTGGAAACAAGTGACAGACAGGGCCCGGCACGAGGTCGGCAAATGACAAGCTGGAAATCGTTTTGGGGCCAAAAAGCAAAGGGGAAATCGTTTTTGCGGGGTCCGGGGCGGAGCCCCGGAAAAAAATTGGTAGTGCACGTTCTCTGCTTATTTTAACATGTTATGTGCCTCAACATGCGAAGACTGGAGTTCGCGCGCGTCAAACCGCGCCGTCGCTAATTGCCGCACGCGCGACGTCGCCCAAGCGATGCTATTTGTAACAGCATGCATGACTAGTTCGCAATGTATGTGTAACGATATGGCACCAAATTTTGTATGCGAACGGAGAGAGGCTAGTGGAAACATAGTATGAAAATCTATGAAAAACTTATGTGAACGGAACGAGTAATTAGCATTTTTTCCGAAAATTTCGCAAAACTGGTAAATGAAGATGTGAATTCAAACGGCTCGTTTGGAACGCGCAGATGAACGATATGGCATGAAACTTGGTAAGTACATGCACACGGACTTGCAGGGCTTAACTGAGGAGTTTCATTGAAAAATTATGTGACTGAAGGTTGTGGCAAGCTTTTTTCTGAAAATTTTGCGCTACCAAAGAAATGGAAAAATGCCTCGTTTGCAACGCAGAGGTAACGAAATCGCGCGGGATTCGGTGTGTATGCGCAGTAGGACTAAGTAACTTAGTATGAAATATTATGAAAAACTTATGTGAATGAAAAGTTTCCTTAACTAATTTCCAAATTAGGTCGGCATTTGCCGACCTAATTCCCACCTGAGGTCGGCAAAACTCTCAGTTTACATAATTTTTTCAAAATTTTTACATAAATCTGTTGTACACCTAAAGTTTACTACATGGTGAAATTTTGGTTCCAAAACTCCTCCTCTTGACCTTGTTAGAGCCCAAAATCGCATCAGCAGCCTAGCTTTTTAAGATGGAAAGCGCGCTCCAGTCAATCGATACGCGCGGGAGCGGCGTCTCTCATTCCTATGACTGCGTTTCTTTGATATTTTCTCATTCTTTAATCATTTTCTTGCTTATTTTTCTTCCTGTTTTCTATCTTGATCCAGCTGAGGAGTAATTTGAGGAATTTGAGCAATTTGGGCGCTTTTGAGCGCTTTTAGGCGAAGTGTGGCCGGTAATCTCGTCGCACAAGCACAAAACGTCATTTTTGGGCTCAAGCGGGTATTCGTAAAATTTATTGGGATCAAAGGGGAATTCGTTTTGGAAAACCCCGTTTGCCCACCTCGTGCCGGGCCCTGGTGACAGACAGTCGTCACTTGTAACATTGCACATGCGCTTATAGGAACCGTCCACCCTAAGTTGAGAGTGTTGAGCTTTTGGCAACATATAATAGTAGGGCCCCCTATCAAGCCAATGACCAAGTCGCGGCCCAAATTGCCGCTTCGGAAGCGAGAAAGTCGCTTCGAAATAGCGAAGATGCACGAGGACCCCCATCCATGCCCGCCCTTCCCCATCCATGCAGACCCACTTGTGCGCGCCCATCCAATCACCGTTCCGGAAAGCCGGCCTGTGGGTTCTCCGGAACGGGCATTATCGGAGTTTTCGCGCATTCTCGACTTCATATTCCGAATCAGGAATATGAGAAGGCCCTGAAACGACAAAAACGTGGAAGTCGAAAATCTGGGTGGACGGTGCCTTTGATCTTGTCTATGATTAGAGTGCACGTACGCTTCATCAGAAATAAAAACCTTGAGAAAAAGAATAGATCTTTTTGGAACTCTTGCACATTGCATTAGCAGTGTAACTTCACAGTTACTTGATTAGCTCTTGCTTCCTCCCACAATGGTCGGCCTCCTCAATAGGCGTGCGGGTAACATTGGGTTTCGGATTGCAATGAACAGCCAAAATGTACCTGACAGGTTCTCAAAAATCTTCCGAGCTGTGAAATAGTTTCGTTTCCGATTTTTGCCGGAGGCTTACCTAAGAGCCGACCGGGTCAGCTCCTCTGCCGTTGCTTTTCCAACATCAAGGCGATCCACCCTCCACATCTGAGGTTAGCGATCACTCTGTGTAAGGCATGGCCTAGTTAGTCTGCTCTTGTAAAAATTTTCTTACTTGTTCAGCAAAAAGAAAAGTAAACTCTGCACTTCGAATCATGCTCACGGCGTCGGGTAGACATAAAGATGTCAGGGCCCTCCGGTGGGTATTTGAATACAAAAAAAAAACGACTCGTCCGCCCGGACGACACGCCATGGAAAGTGCCTCTGCTCTGCACCTACAACACCAAGACAGTCCCCACAAACGCCGTCTTCACGCCTTTCTCGACGCTGCAGAGCATATCACGTCTACATCATCGCTCTGCAAGAATCGAAGACCAGGAAGAAGGACGTGAGACAGATGAGTGATGGGAGTTCATTACTTGATGATGGGAATTCATTACTTCGCAAAACGTTGCAGGCGTTGGCTTTGTGGTCCAATTGCCCATTCGCATTCCCGTAGCCTCGACTAGCCATTCTACAATTACGAACTCCGTCAGAAGACCATCAACCATCAAGTGCTACTCCCCAACATCACCGGTTGACGAACCAGAGCTCGATGCTTTTTACGAAGACATGGAAGAAGTGGTCAGCAAAAAGAAATCCTTGAACAAGTTTGTTGTGGGCGCAAAAATCATTATGCCACTAAAAGAGTGATATAGGATGGAGAATTTGGAATTTGGAATGAAAAAGTTGTCTTGCCTTTTCTCCGCCACCCGACTTTTCCATGAAAGCCCCATCTTCATGGAGAAAGAATAACACAGCTGAACATGAGAGCTAAATCGCTCTACGAAACGGCTTACGTGGAGATCGACCACATATTCATCGAAAGAGGAGCTTGCCCGATGTCTCAGTAGTTCCATCCCTCTGCATTGAATTCTATTACCGCTCCTTCGACCGAAGGTACGATGCAGTCGAGAGGTGGCAAAGAAGGGCTGCCATTAACCGCCAAAAGAAAGGTCTTTCATGACGGCGGGAGGGTCAAATAGTCATATTAAGTTGTGGCTGGCCCATTGCGGGGGACCGAACGTGCGACTTCGACCGGCTTCTGATAGTATTGCCAGACCGTGGGGAATGCGCCTCAGTGACTTTTGAGAAAAACTTGGAACGCATCTCGAAGTCTATCAAGTCATTGGTTGAAAGAAGGATTTGAGGCAAGATACGAATGCGGCCCTTCTCCTGCAACTGATAGCCAACTCCAGTTGCAGAACAGCTTTGCAGGTCTCAGGAAAATACGATTGTTTCCACTGAAGAAGTACAACTAGGATTTCTACGTGCTGAAATGCGATCCAGACCATGAAGACTTCCAAGGCTTCAAAACCAAATCATCTTTCCGACGAACTTCTGTGAGCCGAAGGACAACGTCTACAGTGACTGTCGCCTCGCATTTGATATCTCACCTTCCGAAGAAAAAGATTTTCGACCAGTGAGAGAAAAGAG